TTCTCAACCAGTGGTATGAGTACCCTTAGGGGTACTTGAGAGACATCATCTGGGGGATATGTCAACACAACTGAAATTTGGAGAAAACTGAATTGTTGTTTTAAGTTTTACAGCGCTTTATTATTTTTGTACTTTTTACACCCAAAAATTTCATCACCCGCCCATGATTAAGTTGTTCAAACAAACGTGTTGCAACGGTAGAAAAAAAATTTGTGTGTCTGAAAACTGAATACTGGGGGTATTTATAATTTTTTTTAAAAGGGGTTCTTTATTAAAAAAAGGTTGAGAAACACTGATCTAGCAGGTCTATTCTATACCCACTAAATCAAACCCTACATAGTGTAGATGTGCCCTGTAGTCATTATTCATGTTCCTGACCAACATAGTAATGCTGATGTAAGTTTTAAGTGTGAACCAAGCTTTAGAATGAGAGAAACTGCTTTACTCTCCCTCAAGGTTGAGAACATGAATCGGACTCCTCCATACACAAAATTTAGGAGACACATTAAAAATCCCATGCAGAGTTAGTATTAAGCTTCACCACCACTATGAGTGGAGATTTCTGATTGGGTAGTTTTGTACCCACTCTGCATGCAAAAGGTGGAAGGCAGTGAGAATCTGGCATGGTATGCCCATACTAAAAGTCCTTCCCACTAACAGCTAAAAATGCAGTGAGGTGTATTTGTAGACTTATCCTTTGACTGCTGAAAGCATAGCAGATATCAAAGGCTGCAGATAAGGCTATACAGATATCCCTGGTTTCTACTGGAACTTGGACTGTTATTGTCAGTCACTCCTAGTTAACACGTGCAGGTATTTTGCTAAATTGTCTTTTTATAAACATTTGCCAATTTATATTTCACCAAATATAAAGAAAATAACAGAAATATAGTGAGCCCCATCCTGCTCCCATTGCCTTTAATGGGAACAGAATATTGTTCAATGTTCAGTACAGAATTGGAACTCCACATTTTATTTATATATATATATATATATATATATTGATTGTATATATATATATATATTGATTGATTGCTTTATTGCAACAAAGTTTTTGCTACGCTTCCTGATTTACTTAACCAGACAAGAAGGTTAGAGATAGATATAAAAATAACAGAGTCATTACAGTTTAATGCAAGTGAAGTGTAAGTATTTTGGGGGTGGTGTTGGTATTTTTTAGACAGTTAAATTAACTCTCACGTTCATAATTGTACCTTAGTGCTGGTGAGGAGACCAAACTACTACGTTTTTGCTCTCATAGTCTCTATTTTAACCAAAGGCTCTCAGCAAAAATAGGTCTATGTCATACCTTCCTAGTGCTGGGCATAGCTTATTTACAATATTTGGATTTATAGTTACATGCATGCACTCAATAAGCCAAACCATCCTAATTTCAGCTTGGGTATGGAAACAGCAGATCTTATATCACTCCGTGGAAGAACCCAGTATCTGCCATTCAACATATAGCATGGAATAATATGAGATTGGTGAGAATAAGGGCTATTTTTTCTCACTGTGGACCACTGGAGATTTTCACTGGTTTAAGATTTTATCTGTAATTAACGTTATCTGAATGGGGAAAAAAATTAGATGATAAAAGGGAGTTTTGTGTTGCTTATTCAAATGGAATGACGCCAATTTCCTTTTAACTTTATATAAGACATGTCTGCATGAAACCCCACTAAAGTAGGAGACCCCCTCAACAGATGAGCTGAAAGAAACCTGAGACCTAATTCTCTAGTATTTCCATCATGTGAAGACATTTACTTGCTTTCAAGCTGGCTCTGAAATGTTACAGCTGGCAAAAGGGAGAGCAGAACTCTGCTATAATAGCACATTACAGCCACTGTGCACAGGTATAAGTGACTCCACAAGGTTAAAAGTATCAGCCTCATGAGCTCAAAGACATCCAGACGCAGCTGTCCAGCAATGCTGTGGTGACTGAACTAGGCTAACACCATTAATCATTTGAATATGAGAGGTAGTCAGTGAATTCCATTGACTAGCTCTCATATACAAATGATTAATGGTGTTTGGCTAATGGTGTGTCTAAATAGGTTTGATAGCTATCTCTGATACATGCTTGCACTTTCCCTGGGACACGTCACTAGCAGTGGCCTATCATTGTCCTAGGACAGTGCTCTGTTCCATAGACATCATGAACAAAACGATACATGTTCTTTGTAATAGTGCACTCAAAAGGGAGGCACTCCTTCAGCCAATCAAAATATTCAAGCTCTGTCAAATTATCCCTGTATATTTTGTTTTATTGAATGATACTGGTTGACACATCACTGATCCTTATACCCAGTTTCTCCATTCCTTCCATCCCTGTGTACTCCTTGCTGTTCAGACTAAATTATTCAACATCCCCAATTCTTGATTACCCAGAATGCAGCCAGATGTATCAGTGATTCCCCTTGTCAAGTGGGACATCACTTCCTATTAGCGTGTAAATAGTGGGCTTTTTTTAAGACACTGTAAAAGTTTAAAGTGCCCTAAGTGTCTGCAGGATGTTTACATGTTCCTGAGGAGCCTGGTGCCTTCATTGAATCTGGGACTGAATTGCTGGGGCCCTGAACTGCATGGACATCCCAAATAAGAGCTGGCACTTGCACATGCTATGATGGTGGATGATGGAGCATGTGCCATCTGTGTCCACTGGCATTTGATGGGTGTCCATAGCAACCAAGCCCCATTAGTGTGTTATGCTGCATAGAATGTGCGTGGGTTGGAAATTGTCTTCTGGAGTCACACAACCCTAAGCCTGATCGGTGCTGAATCGCTGTGAGACTATGTAACCATCTGGCTAGCAAGTCATTCTGCATAATGAAACCCCACCACGCAGTGGGCTTCATCTACACGTAGGCTTTGACAGTTGTGAGGAGTTCCCCAGCAGCCACAGCCAGGCAGCTATTTCCTCATTCTGGGATTAGCCCAGCAGAGCCTGAAATCAGCTGTATGGCAAAAATAGGACTTTTAGCCTGAGGAGCCTAGCATTGAGAGAGCAGCTACTAGAACACAGAGAGCTTGAGCTTGGCAATGCCTGGACACAGAAGGCAGCTCAGAGTACAGATGTGAACACTTAACCTTGGGTGTCCTAGCTTTTCAGAATGCAGTGCCCATGAGTGACAGGTAGCTGTCTGTGTTTTGGTTTGAATTTAGAACAGTCTAACACATACCTCCTCTAGGGTGTAGGGGCTAAGGCAGCTGATGTGCAGTAAAAGACAGACATAAAGAGAACACTTGCTCTGTGAGATTGGCAGGGCACATCACACCACAAAGCTTCCATTTCCCCATGCTAGAAATGAGGATTCTGATTTTTCCTGCCTCCAGTGAGGTGTCTGTCTGTGAAACCAGTGTGTACATAGAGAAAGTGCTGTGTATTTGTATTGCTGCATGTAACATGTCCAGAGCTACTGATCCCTCCAGGGACATTGCAGGGGGGAGTAACCCCCTCACGAGGCAATAGCCTCGTCCACTTGGCTTGATTTTACATACTTGAAATTTTACACAAGATCGTAATTCTGTTACTAATTTCTTATAAAACAGATAACTGCAAGACGGCCCGTTGCTTGTATACAACATTAGGGCCACTTGCAGCAGGTCTGGGGTTATTAAACTTACGATTTTACAGCTGTCATGCCCCATCTTGCGGGATGAGGTCAGTGTTGGCTGTTGGCGTGAATGTTGCGAAAGCTACTTAGGTGCAGTAGCATTTCTGACACTTTAAAAGCATTGGATGAGCCAGTGGTGAAGCGGGGCCTCCTGCTGATCAGGCAGCTGCCAGTGGTCTGTGCCAGGTCATTGAAAATTGCTCTGAAAGGAAGACCCTTTAGTACTCCTCAGTAAATTGTATTAATGCCATGTTATTCACCTTGCACACACCCCACAACAGCAATTTCACTTCAGTTATGAAAAGAAGTCTTGTCTCCTTAGTTCCTGTTTGAAGAAGTGCTTGTATATGCATCCACCCTTACTGTCTTGCTGCCACCTGGCTTCCCTGCTCTTCAGTACGGAGCTACTCAAAGTTCAATACTGCAGTCCTGCCCCTTTCTAACCTACATTTCAGCCACATGCCTCATCTGTAGGGAACTACCAAATTCACAGCCATGCCAAACACATTATGGACCAGAGGGGGAGCCGTGTTAGTCTGTAACTTTAAAAACAAAGGTATCCTGTGGCACCTTAAAGACACATATCTCTGAAGGCAGCACCAGTGCCAGCAGCAGCAATATGAAAGTGTGGATAGCAATACCACAACTCTTCCTACAGTAAAATTGTTACCCTACTGCTCCCAATGTGTTTTGTGTTGGACCCCTACTGTTACAACAATCTGAAATCTCAGATACAAACAGAGGAAATTTTTAAAAACTTTTAAAATCTTACAACCGTAAAATAGACCAAACCCAGTTTTTAAAATCTTATGACCATGAAATTAACCAAAATGGACAATGAATTTGATAGGGCCCCGTAGGAGAAGGGTACCAGAAGCTATGTCCTTTTCACAGGCATCAGCAAAACCCTGAAAAACAACATCCCTTAAACTACATCAAACTGTGGATGGCCTGATTTCCAGTTTTTAAAAGCTGGTGGGATAAAAGGTAAACCTCTTCTTGTTTCTTTGCTGGTGCTTATGTTGTGATGCTGATCAAGGCTTGAGCAGTGTGACTAAAGGAGAAGGGTACCAGAAGCTATGTCCTTTTCACAGGCATCAGCAAAACCCTGAAAAACAACATCCCTTAAACTACATCAAACTGTGGATGGCCTGATTTCCAGTTTTTAAAAGCTGGTGGGATAAAAGGTAAACCTCTTCTTGTTTCTTTGCTGGTGCTTATGTTGTGATGCTGATCAAGGCTTGAGCAGTGTGACTAAATGGGGTCCTTGTACCCACCACCATGGCCGTTCCATAATCCCATTTTCACCATGTTCAGATGCAAACTTCTGCTGCCACCCTGGTTGTGCGTCTTATTGAGCATCCCTTTTTCCATCTGTTACAGGATGACATGCACAGGGTCATTGACCAGCAGCTGATGGACAAACATCTGAAGGAATGGAGCCAGCCTGCTTATTCCTTCTCCAATGGCTACAGCCCGTGTTCAGGCCGGAGCAGCAGGGGGATGAGCCCATTGGGGCAGAAAGGAACCATCTCTTTTCCTTTTTCAAGAAAAATTAATGTGAAAGGAGAAACCTTTCCAATTATTTCAGCTTAGAGGTGTGAAGCTGGGGGCAACTGCAAAGCTTCCCACTGGACCTGAATCAAATCCAAAAGGAAAACATAAAAGGTGAACAAAATTAACCTTTGAGACTGCACTATTTACAATCCACCTGGTCTGAACAAATGTTTACATGGATTGGAGATTTGCATCTTGACAATGTGATATCAACTGAGAGCAACTTCTTTATTCCTTAAGCAAAGTGATAAACGTCAGGGTATGGTTTAGGCGTTTTGACACAGGCCACTCAGTTTCTGCTGCGAAGAATAATCCAATTGTCTTAACTTCATTCTCTCATGCTGGAGAAGGAAATTAGCAACTCCAGGACAAGGCAATACAAGGGACTGATTACTAGTGTCCCAAGAAAAGTAGTGGAAAGGAGTGGCCTTGGTACACCCTCTTGTTCTGGCAGCTGGACTGTCCTTCAGGTTACATGGGCTGTAGTTGCACTGGTCCTGGAAATGTAATATGTTTATATGGCTGTAGTTTACTCTATGGGGGAAATCTTATTGTCCTCTTCTTATGACTAGCAGTCTCTATTCCCCCTGGTGCTCTCCATAGCTACAGTTACTACATCAGGAATCCAGATTCCTTCCAGCTCAGGGCAGTTGTAAATCTGCTAATACTGTGAGCCGAATCTAGCTTTCCATTGGCCAATTCCAGCACTCTAAGCATTGAGGATTGGCTCATGAGGTAGACTGAGCACCTACATCCCAACATGCAGTGAATGGGAGTTGTGGATGTTCAGACTCCTTAGGTACCTGCTCTTCCCTTAGCCTTAAGGCTAGCTGTGGAAGGTCAGTGTAGCTCAGACTTAGAGCCAAAGGCCTTTTGCATCTTCCTAGTGAAATCAATAGCCAAAAATCTGAATCACAGATTTGGGGATACAGATTGGTCTGAAATGATCAGCCATCTCAAGGTCCTGAGCACCTAAAACTGATAGATTTGATAGGAATGGGTTGTTCAGTGTTTCTCAAAATCAGGTCCTAAGTGTAGCTCTTCCACTGCTCAGCATTGCTGCAGTAGTTTTAGTGATAGGCCTGATCTTCAGGGCCAACCCTTAGCTCCTGCGTATGTGTATACACTTTCTGATATTCAGGCCTTGATGGTAGATGGTTGGATCTGCTTATGCTCAGTGTGATTGTAGACTGTAGCCTTGAAGTTAAAAGGCTTTAATCAGACTGGTGTGAGGAGAAAGAACATGCTGCCACTCTACATATATGCACACATTTTGGTGCTACAAGTCCTGCAGTATGTATGAGATTATTATAGGGTAGGTACTTTCAGCAGGCCCTATTGCTACCACTTAGCACTTTTCCTTTAAAACTGCTTTAAACACCAATAAAATAAGCATTTCCCCTTAGAGAAAGCTGCTGCTGGGTTGTTTTAAGCAACAGCCTGTTCTAGAAGGGTTGTATGCTGCTGTCACCTTTTCATTTCCCACCAGCCAGTCTCCTACAGTCCTCTCCAAGCTGCATTCCCAGCACATGCATGGGTGAGGAAGGGAAATCTATAGCCACAAGACGGTGAATGTAGGCCATGCTAAGGAAAGGGGCTTTAAGTTATGCAATGAAGATGCAGTGATAAGAAAGGTGCCTTTTGCTGCATGGTCACTGGGAGGAGAGTGGAAGTGAGTCGCAGTTGCTTAGGGCAATGATTGAAATTCTCAGCAGGTCTCACTCATCATTTGAAGAAGGAGCCAGTCCTTAATCTGTTTGCAATTATTTTTTTCAGTCAGAAGGTTAAGCTGACACTTGGACTTGAAGTGCAACTGCATCTGGGTATGGGAGCTACTAGTCCCAGAAACTGAGGAGGACAGGGCTTATGAACCAGGGCAGAGGAAACTGTCCCTGTGCTGAGCAGATGCTGCTTAAAGCAACAAAATCTACCTTAACACCATATTCTGTTTTATGCACAGAATCAATCCCTTGGCCAGATGTTCCCAAAATGTCATATAGTTAATGCTGTGCTTTAATGGTGTCCTGAGCATTTTGTCTTCCCTTAAACTGTCACCAAAGATAGCACAGCTGATAGTGGATTATTTCAAGACCTCTTTTGCTGCCTATGGGGTGGGGGTTGAACATGCCAGTATAGCTCCCTGCTCCCCCTGGCCACTGACATTTGCAAACCTATTTGAAAAATGTCAGTGGGAGGAAGAACACTAACTTGAGAAATCACAGGAGCCCAATGAGTAGATTTGGTATGCCAGGTAAGCATCAGCATACAAGGATTATACCACTGTCCCCAAGTGGGCTCTGCAGCACTGAAGACCAGTACAAAACACTTTCACTCATCAGTACTTAACAGGTAGTGCTAGGCAATATGGCAGGGCTAAGACATGCACCTTATACAACAGTTGCACAACTAAAGAATAGAGGTTCCACATTTCACACAATTACTAAGCCATCACATTGCTTCTGTGGGTTTTTTTTTTTTTTTTTTTGGCTAGCTAGGGGGAAGTTCCCTTTAGCAAAGTCTAGAGCTAGGGCCTACTGTTGTGTATGACACTCACACATTTTCTGTACTAATACAACTAAATGTAGATGCAAGTCAAGTTACTAGCACTTTGCTACCTTAACGCACACAGCTCAGCGAGTCACCATTAATAAGAAAATGACATCAATTTGAGAACTGAGGAGCAAAGTCTATGGCACAATGTGTGCGCCGAGTAGCAATAAAGGAGGCTTACAGGCAACAGAGCACACATAAGGCCTTCAGCGTGATGCGTGTAGAACTTATCCTAGCTAAGACTGATAGTGGATTCTGGGAATATAGCAAACCCTCTTACCATTCCCACTTCTATCACTGCAAACAAGATTGTTTTAACCCAAAGCTCAGAAGTACAAGGGATGGGCCTGGGTAAGGCAGTGAAGTGACAGTCCCCTTAGAGTGAAAGTGAAAAAGCACATAGCAGGGACAAGCAGAAAGAATGTATCTATAGATATGTACATACCACAGTGCTGTAATTTTTGTACGTAGTAGTAATGTAAATAAGTGTATGGTTTTTTAAGATACATATTATATAAAATCTATAAAGCATATTTTTAGTAAAAGCAATGCTCCACTGCTTCTTTTGTAAATAGTTATCTTCAGAATAAAATGGATCATTTCTATGGTATCGTCTCTGGGCTTTGCTTACTGGTTTGCTGCAAACTTAAGAGAGCCACCTCTTCTTGACCATATTCAGTACATCTCAATCTGCCTGGGAAACTAAAGGAAAGGTCTACACTTAAAATGCTGCAATGGCACAGCTGCAGTACAATAATTCCTCATTTAACATGCTTGCTTAACACGTTTTCATGATAACAATTTTTTTTTTAAGGAACGTTTTTTGAATTACATGACCGTCCCCGGAATAACAGGATTTCCCCAGCCAGCCTGTTGCCGGCGGCTGCACGGGGCTTCCTCCGCCTCACTGCAAAGCGACGAAGGGTTCACCACTCACCACGCCATTCCCCACTGACTCCTCCTCCGTCCCCGCTTGCAGGCCAGCTGCAGGGTTTCCCCAGCCAGCCTGTCACCGGTGGCTGCACGGGGCTTCCCCCGCCTCCTGCAAAACAGCAGAGGGTTCGCCACTCGCCGTGCCGTTCCCCAGTGACCTCTCCCTTGCTGGATGCAGTGTGGTTCCCATCACACAAGCATATCCCCAAGCTAATCCCCCTCCCCTTCCCTTCCCTTCCCCTCCCGAGAGCCAAACACCTCCCCTCCCTGCTGTAACCCAGTCCCCTTTCTCTCCCAACCTTATGTCCCAGTCCCAACAGACACCACCGCTTGAAACGCAACCCCCACCTTTTCCATTATTTTCAATGGGAAAATTGACCCCGCATAACATGTTTTCACTTAACACGATCATTTTCTGAAACGTATCTATAGTGTTAAATGAGGAATTACTGTATTTACAATACACCAAGGCTACGTCTAGATTGCATCCCTTTTTGGTAAAAGGGATGCAAATTAGACGTATTGCAATTGCTAATGAAGCGGGGATTTAAATCTCCCCCACTTCATTAGCATAAAAATGGCTACTGCTTTTTTTCAGCACAGAGCTTTGCCGGAAAAAAGCGCCAGTCTAGACGTGGATCTTTTGGAAAATAAAGCTTTTCCAAAAGATCCCTTATCCCTTATTTTAAGAGGGATAAGGGATCTTTCAGAAAAGGCTTTATTTTCTAAAAGATCCACGTCTAGACTGGTGCTTTTTTCCAGCAAAGCTCCATGCCGAAAAAAAGTGGCAGACATTTTTATGCTAATGAAGCGGGAGAGATTTAAATCCCTGCTTCATTAGCAATTGCGATATGTCTAATATGCATCCGTTTTACGAAAAAGGGATGCAATCTAGACATAGCCCAACAGGAGAGCTTCTCTCATCAACATAGTTAATCTACCTCCTTAAGAAACAATAGATATGTTGGTGGGAAAAGCTCTCCCATTAATACAATCTGTCTACAGCGGGGGGCAGGAAGTGGGATGTTAGTTCAGTTTAACTATGTTATTCTGGTTTGCGGACAATAGTTATTACACACACAGGTCTGTAGTATAGCCCTGGCCTTAAAGCAGCAGCTACCCAGGCACTGTGACTAGCATCAAGGTAAGGTGTTATAATTAAGCCTAATTAATAGCAGCTGATCCAATATCACTGAATAATGTAGATGGAAAAAGTTGATCAAGCAATAGCCAGTTTAGACAGAACACAGGCATTATTAAACAATGAAACACCTATATCTTGCACTATTTCATGGATTGATAACTGATTAAAAGACAGGAAATAAACAGTAGGCAGTTTTCAGAAGAGAGAGGTAATTAGTGGTGTCTGCTAAGGGTCCATACTGGGACCAATTCTATTCAACCTATTTATAAATATGATCTGGAGAGAGGGGTAAACAATGAGCCGGCAAAATTTGCAGATCATACTAAACTGCTCAAGACAGTTAAGACCAATGCAGACTGTGAAGCGTTTCAAAAAGATCTTACCAAACAATGTTTGGACAATAAAATGACAA